CGATAACGGGCTGTTCCGCTTCCAATCTTGTAACAAAATTTGTCTAGATTATTCTACGGACGATATTAAGGCAAAGTTCTTGACATATCAGTGACAAAAATCTCAAATCTTTCTTAATAGATGCAAGACATATTGTCAGTTATACGAAATAAAACTTTCACAGATTGAAGTTATTTGTTTCTTTTTTTTTTCATTTAAGAGAATTTAATGTTATTGATAGAAGGTTAGGTCATTCTTGGAGAAAGAGATCCAAGTACTTTCGAAAATATTTTGTAAGAACTATGTCAAAATAAATTTTCTCTACAAGTTATTTTAGAAAAAAACTAAGGTGAACGAAACAAAAGGAAATTGTTTTTAAATTTCTAAACTTTTGTAAGAACGAACAAGTAGATCAAAGAATATAAAAACCCTATCTGCCTATATTTAATCATCAAAAAAAAACTGTTTCTTCTACAAGAAAAAAAAATGAAGACAATAGATTTTTTTATAGAAAAAACAAAAAAAGAACAATAATCATCTTTCAACGATATTCACCATGTTCGGAATAAAAAGTAAAAAGTTTTTCTAAAGTTTGCATTTCTTCTAGTTTATATTTGGCCAAACTATTCAAGTTAAGATCTTTCAATAAATCCAAAAAATTTGGTTTCATGTGAGATCTTTTGCATTGATTAATATAATGATCTATTATTTCATGTTGATCTACACTGCGTGCTTGTCTACAAACAATAATTTTAACAAGTTCTTTATAATTAAAAATGCCAGTAACTTGAGCAATTTTCTGATAAATAAGAACAATATCATTATATGTATCTTCTGAAATACGTGCAGCACGATAATTACCATCAAGTAATGCAACTAATAATTCTTCATCCAATGGATCAACTCGTATTCTTGCTAACCGAAAATGTTCTAATAATTCATTTTTTAGTGGTGTTGAAATTGCATAAGCTAATTTTTTGAAATTTGCTTCATATGTGATTTCTTGTAAATCACGTACTGCTTCTTTTAAACTATTTGTTTCAGTTTCATTATTATTTAATCTTTCCCGCATAATACAATTAGTTATTACAAAACTTTCAATTGTTTTTCGTAAATCAAATATTAATGATTCCAATTTTTTAAATGTACTGTAATCAATTGCAGGAGAATTGTTATCATTATTCGATACCAGTAAATCTAATAATTTGTTATGTACTTCATCAAAATCACGTACTGATTGTATATGAAGTTGGTTGATAAGATCATATTTTCGAAGAATAAATAAAAATTTTTCCCATCGTTCATCATTGTTTATTTGTGAATCATTTAATAAAGTTTCTAATTCACTTAGAAACATTAATTTATCAGACATGATAATAAATATAAATAATCTAAAAAAATACGTTGAAAATAGTTAACAATATTTCACATCCTATATCCTAATTTGTTCAAACATGTTTTATCTTTTGATTTATTATTTTTATCAGGAAAAACTGTTTTATCTATAGAAATAAAACAACTGTATCAGAGTAGGCAGCATTTTTTTTTTCACTCTAAAAAATCAGGACTCATGAAGTGTATAGACAAGACGATTCATCTGCTTATATAAGACATTTTAAGTTAATTTTGATTGGTTGATATATCACTAATTTAGACGCTTCAAGTCTCAACGGATAATCGATTTTAGATACTCGAGCGTCTTACTCGCTTCTGGTTGAATGTTCTGTACTAGTAAGAGAAGTGCCTAACATCTATCTTCCTTAGACACTTCAAGTGATCAACGAGCTACTAATTCTAGAAATGATTACATTTCGATATGAATAGTATGCAATAAAAAAATATTTTTGATAAAATAATTTTATATTTTTTCCAAATTTAACTTAACATCTTATCGAAAAATATTGTAAAAATTTTTAAATTCTCTTCAACACATGTTAAGTTAGATTTGAAAAATTGATGAGAAAAAAAATATAATTATTTTATCAAAAATATTTCTTATTGCGCACTATTCATATCAAAATGCAATCATTTCTAGAATTAGCAGCTCGTTGATCAGTCGAAGCATTGAGGAGGAAAGTATCAAAGTTGTTTAAAAAGTTAAGGGCGCATAGATGTTGTTTGGAATATTAATATAATCTAGAAAAAAATCAATAAATGTAACATAGTAACATAAGGTGAAAATCTGAAATAAAATAAGTAATATATATGTATAAATGTTTATTTATTTATATTCAGAAACTGGATCTTTTCTTCACAATAGCTTTAAAAAAACGGAATACCTACAGTTACATATATAACACTTTTTTGATGAGCGAATATCTGATCCGCTATTGAAGAAAACAGCAAGTATATATACGTAGAAGAGACAATAGACAGACTGAATAAGAAGTCAAGAAGCTTCCTTCGTCTGTTTAGACAATGAACAATAGAAAGAATCAAGACAATAGTTCTTACTCAACGAAGGCGTCAGGCAGGAAGAGTAGTTATCATAGATAATCAATAATAATGAGAATCAATCGATTCTATTCGTTAAAAAAAATATTTATAACTGTTTATTTAATTCTGTTACAAACGAATTCCAAATTGAGTAATTTACAAATTCTTTTTCATTTTGATTGTCTGATTGATCAAAACATCAATTTTAGATTTGAGACCAACAAAAAAAACTCGATCATTCCAATGAAAACTAATAAATATTTTGAAAAAAACCGTTTGATAATCAATCATATAAACGATTATTTTTATTTGATGATAGATTGATTTAGTCGATAATCGACATTCGATCACTTCTACTACATATTGATATCGAATCAAACTCGATTCCTATTTACATTGTTTATCTAATAAAGTTAGCAAAAACTAACTAATAGATATATTACATATCTATTCCATTAAGTATGTCTATATTATTAAATTTTATATAGAATAATATCATTTTAAAATATCTTTCAAGATATTCACTCGACAATAAATGTCTCCATCTAAATCACTATTATTGAACATTTATTTTATTTCAAAGATCTTTTCAAATAGATTTTGTTTTATTTGTCTAATTCGATAAAAATTCATATTCATATTAAATTATATAAAAGTTAATCTTAAACAAAAAAGAAGTCATCTCAATAACATACAGATATTCAATTTATTTGAATAGAAATAAAATATGTTAATCATCGATTATATAATAACAAAAAAATTATATATTGTTTATCTGTACAATTATTAAAATTGTCTTCAGAAGAACAAAAATCGTTAACATTATGAGTGTGGGTTAAAAGAAGAACTGCACTCACAACCCACACCCACCCCACACTCGCACCCACACCCACATCCACACACTCACATCCACCCTGTTGGCTTCTATTATAGGTAATAGTATGACGTCAAGTTAAGTTGTAATATAAATAGAAAACTATGTGATCGATTTTTGCTGAGGATGGTGATGGTGGGGGCCGCACTATGACCATCCTGCAGTTCTTTATCCACAGCACATTCACATGAGTCTCTGAATTCAATTTGAAACTTATAAAAATATAATCATTCGGACGTCCTCAAATTAAACTTTTCACTATTAAAAATTCAAATTAGTCGAAATTCAAAGAAACCAATGAAGTTTTTTGGTATAAATTTCACTCAATCAGACAAATCTTGATTTCGTACATCATCTCGCAAAAAATCAATAAAATCAAAAAAATCTGATTTGAGCTGTTTTTACCCTTCATTGATGCTTTTAAACAAAAGAATTTAAAAATTTTCTAATTTTTTTGATTAAATTGATTAAACTGATTTTTTTTTATTTAAAATTGATTAAAATCAGCTGTTTCTCCCTCGATTAATGGTCGAAGATATAAAAACAAAATAATTGAATAGTAGCTGTTTCAGAATGCTGACAAAGCTAAACGCGCAAAAACCTATGAAAATGTGTTCATTGTTGTTAATGAAAAACGAGTTATCCCATGAAGTTAATAAATAGACACTCAGGAGTTAATCTCAACGACGACAAGTCTGTTCTCTTATTCAATAAAATACTCTTTAATTCTTCTCATTAACCTATGTTAGAAGCAGACTGTTTTCTTTCAATTAATAAACAATGCAAAAGTCTTTGGAAAAATATTGAGTTGCATAGCTCAGTCACTTTAGAAGATAGGTAGCTAATTTTATTTTTGGAAAGACCACGACAAGTACTAGAAAAAAAACCTGTATTTAAAGAACTGAATATAGTTCGTCTCGTCACATAGCTTGAAGCTTCTTTTTTACTTCCCAATTGTTTTCATATATTTTTCGTTCAAGCTAACTCCATAAAATTTCCATCGGACCAGCTTGAAATACGTTTAGTAGATTGTCAGTACGAGAAATAAATGGTATGTGTTATTCGTTTAAACGTTCTTGAACAATATTTGAATAATGTGCTCTTGCTAAATCGAACCAGAACAGATAATTTCCATTCCAATTATATTTATCAATAAAAAGCAACGGATTTTTATTAATTCATTGTTTTAATTCGTTGCGAGTTTTAAGATCAACATGTCATGTGACGAATTATCCTAGTACTCCTGGTCTAATCTTATGACGAAATAGTATATACATATTACCAACTTGCTAAACTTTCTTGAGCAAGCATGATCTGTTCTCAATTGAATATTATACAATGTAAGTCTTATGATGTTGTTTTAAATAAAAGAAAAGGAGAAAAAACGATTCTATGTAATAATTATATAAAAATCAATGATTCAGCCCGTTTGTGAGAAGTTTAATTTCACGCAAAAAGTATTGAATTATATGAAAAGATTCTTTCAATTATAATAATGTTAATAGAACTCTTATTATTTATGAATGGTCAATTAATAATGATTTAACTCTAAAATAATTCATGTTACATTAAATTTCAAAGTTTTTTCATAAATTAAATTCAATCAATACTATCTTTTAATATTTTTTTAATCATACATTGGTTTATTTTATTGATTTAATAAATAATATAATTTTCTCGATTGAGAAAAAAAAATTAATTAATTAATTAATTACCATCGTGGATGATGGTATAAATAAACATAATTTAAATTACTATATTGAAGTTCACATCGTCGACCACGCTGGTTGCGTCCACAGAAACAATATGGTTGACCATATGCATTAACACATCGACCACCATTATAACACCTAAAAACAAAGATTTATGTCTTAAGAATTTCTTTTTTTTCTTTTTGTAAATACTCTCACCAACTAGAATTACACGTTGGACGACATGGATAACCACAGTTTGGTCCATAAGAACCTGATGGACAAATACAAACTGCTTGAAGAGTTAATGGATTGACAGCACAGGTGCCGCCATTTCTGCATGGATTATTTGTCAAACATGGATTATTCGGTAATGGATTTGTTGGACAATCAGGATTTCCAATAACATTATTTGGACAAAGACATATATAAACTGATGGATTTTGATTTGTTGGTACACATGTAGCACCAGCAGGACATACAGCATTGGCACATTGATTTGGAATTACAACTGGCGATTGAGTAGTTGGAATTACACCACCATTACATTCTACTGCACTTGGTTTTGTGGTCATGTCCGAACAAAGACATGAAAAAATATTACCTGTTTGAACACATGGATATGGATTACATGTAGCTATTGCTGTTGATGTACATAGATTGTCTTGTGCATAACTTGTAGACAATTGTAAAAATAACATAACAATGAAAATAATCATACTTTTAAGAATTGCCATGATAATAATCTTTGACGTACTGTTAGAATCAATACTATTTTGAATTGAAATAATGCCGATTGCATAGTGATTTTATAGTGAATAAAAAATTAAGAGTTAGACAAACATTTACTATCGATTTTGTATATTATCCTTAATCAAGGCAAAAAATACAGATCATGATATTGACATATTGTTACACGATATGATTGTCCTTGTGTCATATCAATGGAAGAAAAATGATTGCGATTAGATTAATATAAAAAAAACGTTCTATTGTGAATGTATTAAAATAGAACATAGAAATTTGATCAGTGTCTATTTTAAAACTAATATTCATGATCAGGACGAATGTACTATTATCATCAAAAAGAGTCATACAGAAATGGTGAATGTAATTTCTGCAGTACAAATTTTCCTTAATAAATACAAATTACTTTCTATTCATTCAATGACTTGTCATTCAAAGAAAAAAAAAAAAAGAAATATTATTATTTTATTAAATTAGTTTTAAATACAGAATCAAAGCTAAACATCGAACCGGATGGTCTTGTCGTTCAGCAGGACAAGCCATGACTGGAGCATATCGGTAAACCTGAATTTGGTCGAAAGGGTTTTTTGACGAAGAAAAAAAAAACGTAAAATAACATGGATTTTTTTTTCATAAATTATATAGGATAAACCAGTAAAAAGATCTGATGCATTAATAAAATTATTATCGTAATGGGTGGGGCAAAAGTTTTGCATTAATTTTGTTTTTGATATGACTCTACAACGCAATGTCGTGAAGACTTGATTTTTTTTTGTTAGAAAGAGCAAAGTGTCTAGTGCAAGAATATATAAAAGAGTTTGATTGGAAATGTTTTTCCAAAAACTACAACAATCTTAGAACAGAAGGCGTTGGAAAACTCTTCCGCAACTTTTTTGAACTTAGAAAAAAATTCCTATAATTAGACAGGTTATCTTTTTATTCATCTAATCTGGATTTTATAATATAAGGATAGAGCACTATTGCGTTACAAAAAAAAGAAATTTTCTACATGTTTTATAACGGTTGAAATGAACGCTTTTATGATATCGTCTGTGTCATCGAGTTTTCATCATTGTTGGTAGCAATCGAAAAAATAAACTCTATTTCGCAGGAGAGATTGCTAGGAGCTATATATTTTATAAAAGAAAGTCTATTGAGTCCTCTACCAAATGATATCATTTGGAATAGGACGCAACTTCTCTATGAGATATTCAAAAAAAAACTTATTTTCACACTGCAAAACCAAATTCGAACAATTAATTTGTTTTTATCAACGTGTCTTTTGTTCATTCTCTTGTATGTTATACCAATTATTTTAATACCAAATGAAAAGCTCCGTTGTAATGAACGACTGTATATATATGGTGCTCGAAAGTGTCGAAAGTGGCTAATGAAAAAGGCTCAAAAAAATATTTTTAGATTAAAAAAATGTGACTAAAGTTGCGGAAGAGTTTTTCGGAGCATTGTGTTCTAAAACTATTGTGGCATTTGAAAAGCATTACAAATCAAATTCTTTTATATATTTTTGCATTAGACACTTTGCTCTTTCTAACAAAAAAAAAATCAAGTCTGTACGACATTGCGTTGCAGAGTTATATCAAAAACAAAATTAATGCAAAACTTTTGCCCCACCCGTTAGTATTAATCATTGAATAATTGACGATGTATATATGCGTCATGAAGTTAGTCATCGTTTGAAACTAATGCAATCATTTATAATGTACATTTATTAAACGCATTTAAATAAATACCAATGTCAAGCAACAGGAGTTTTATTGGAACGATTTCGTTAGACAAGATTGTTCATTCTATTATGATAACTTTTAAAAAGAAAGAAAATAACTATCACTCATCTATTTTTTTCGAAATATGTTAATAATTCTTGAATTTTATAACCAAGTAATAATTGCTCAATATCAACTCATATTTTATTGAATTCACTTGCTTACATGCCATTATTATATCATAAACGATTTCATCGTTTTGTAAAAGTTAATATTAATTGAAAAAATAAAATAAAATAAAAAACAATTCTTTTCATCATGTAAATTCATAAAAAGCAAACACATTTTATCAAAGGTCGAAAACTTTATTTCGAATGTAAACTATCACAATCAATGAAGCACTGAATAAGTTCGAAATATTGACTTATTATTAATGCTTCATTCGTTAATCTACTTCGGGAAATAAAATTTGAATTATAAGAAAAAAAAAACACCATATGTCAATCGATTGCAAAATTTTAATAATCAAATTTGATTTAACGAGTTGACAAAAGATACGAAATGTTTGAAAAGAAAAATAAATCAATGGATGTCATGTTTTTTATTTCTATTTATAATTGCTATAAATTATATTGACAAATCTTTTAAATTACTTCATAGGTAAATTTTTATGCGCAATTGTACCAATGTGTTTCGTCATGCAAACATATCAGTTGATTAACCCGGTGTCTTGTTTTTCTCTTTCTCTTATCGAACGAGGACTGGATATTATTTGACCCACTTTTTCTTTTTTGTTTGGAAAGAAACAAGAGGAAACAAAACAAAACAAAATAAATGATGTTTTTTTGCGATAAACATATTGACTATGTTTTATATTGAAGTTTTCTTTCTTATTTACGACATGAATGAATGATAAATTAATTTGATGTTATCTTACGAACAAACTGTAGACGTATCTTCTTAATTGACATTTTAGTTAATAAATAATCGTATTTGAATACATATCATGTTTGTTACTTCAAGAAAAAAAAAAAGAAACAATTCGATGGCAGGTGGATTGTTTCATAGAAGTAATAAAAAATAATCAATAGTGCAAGATAATCATTGAATGTACTTGTCTTTTATTTCGTAAGCAAAGGTCAAGAGAGCGTTCTAGGTCTCTTCATTGGGTGTATATGTTATGTATATCAACTCATAATAATGTCGATAATTGTCATTTATCTTTTTAAGTACTATTTGAAATTTAGACAGTACCAAAAAAAAAAAAGAAAAACATTTTTTAGTCAAAAGAAACAAGTGGAAATATTTTTAGAACAAGAGATTGAATTAAATTGTCAAATCTTAACATACTCGAGTACTAATCTTGAAATTTATTACTTCGTCTTCTGTCGTAAATTAATGAGACTATTGACTATAAAATTTACGATGCAAACTTTGTCATATTTTTAAAACCCTCAAAATAACCAAGACTCTTTCTTTTTTAGATTTTATCATGTAAGATAAATTCATATCAAGATTGTCCTTGAAAATAAATCTACCCTTTTAACCCTTGAGAAAGATAAATTGCTTTCGATGCAATATAATATATTGTTTATGTTATCGAATATAAATATAAGATAAGGTCAATATCTTATTTTGTAATTATATTCTAATATACATTTTATTATAGTACTTAAAGCAGGTCAACGCCTTCTTATACTTGATGATGTTGTTGTTTTTTTCATTTATTCATTCAACTGTAACAATAAAAACATTGCATTTGAATTTCGAAAATATGATTAAATCATGTCAATAAAAAATTCAAAATCAAAATTTTTTTTTATTTTCTTTATTTTTTATTTTCTTTAAATGTTAACTTATACTAAATAATAATAATAATAATAATAATAATAGTAATAATAATCCCATTTACTTATCTGTCTCGCTATAATAAATTCTTTTCTCTTATCCAAGACATTTCGCATGTTATACATGAAATAACTCGAACAGTCTACGTACAAGAAAAAAAAAGAAGAAGAAGAATAGGTATGAAGAGCACAAAAACAAAAAAAAAGAAAATGAATACAAATGAAAGGTATGTCGCACATGGCCTTTGGTCATCATTACGCACAACACATGTCTATCTGTTTGAATTTCATCCCAGACATACGAGAACAAAAACAAAAAAACATCAATACAAGGTTTATAACAAAAAAAAAAGAAGAAGAAGAAGATCGAAAGAGACCGGTATAGGTGAAAACAAAAAAAAAGAAAGAAAGAAAGAAATGAGTATATATTCACAAATTTATGAATGTGTGATGCTTCGCAATAATCATAGTTATATACATTATGAAAAATATCATATCATCGCTGCCTAACTAGATTTTAATGCTTCAAGCAGGAACATGAAAATGGCACAATAATAGCAACGATGTTAAATATATATATATACACAATGGAAAATGGAACAAGACGACTAATAACAAACATTTATATATATATTAAATGTCGGAGTGCGCATTACAGAATGAATGAGAGACACATAGAAGAAAATGATTTGAATTCGAGACTTAACGGCTCAAATTAATGTAGGTTCACCTCTTTAATCAAGTGTACAACCCAGCCTTTAACTGCGTTAAACGCATCACGACAACCCTGATGTTTACAAGAGAGGGAAGGGAGGGAAGGCAAAACAAAACATATGAAGAATAACAATACTGAAAAATCAGATCGAAATAATATGCGTAGAACGGATAACGAGGGAAAAAAAAAGAAATATATAGAACTCATCACTGGGTAAGATAAATAATCTATCCTACTCAAGGTGTATACATATAATAAAGAATATTTTCTTCTTAATATATGTGTTTATAGGGGGGGGGAGAAGAAAAAAAAAGTATATAAAAGTAAAACAAATAAACAAAAGACATATTGACAAAGATTTTTTTTTTTTTTTCTTTTATCTATGACTACCAAACCCGTTCAGGATGTACAACACGATGTTCACTACCGTTGTTTGCCGTACGGCGACAATCAGCTGATGAACTTCGAATTTGTTGTTGAGGTTGTTGATGTATAGGATGCATAATAAATGAAGGTACAGGACCATAAACAAAATTTGTTGGTAAAGGACTATGATTTGGATAGAAAAATGCTGGCGATGGATACCAATGAACAGGATAAAGAAGAGTTTGTTGATTGTAAAAAACAAGATCTGGATCTGTATGAGCTCGATGTTGCATTGGTAAATTAATAGGTGGTGATGGAAGCACAAAAATAGATAATGG